TAGCTTAAAGGGCTAATAATTTTGTCCCAAAAATGGTTTAAAAAAAATTAATAACTGTTTTTATTCCAGCCGAAGTAAAACAAATAAGACTTTTTCCAGAAGAAAAAATATTGTCAGACATACTGTAAAAATTTCTTTGCTCTGTTTAACATCATTTGGGAAATATTTAGAAAAGAAACAAAATTCAAATGGGAGCTAATAATTCTGATTTCAAATGCATATTGCATATACCATTATCACAATACAGGGCTCAGCAATAAGGACTGCCCGGTGGCCCGGGGCCAGCGTGAAAGACGCTCGGGACAGTAGACAGGATTGTTACTGGCCCCTTTCGGCCAGTAACGGTGAGCATGCTATTTTTTTCATAACATGATAAGTACAGCGAAAAGATGGCAACATGTAACTATGAGGCTAAAAGAAAACATCAGTTTCTAAAGTCTTGGAAGCAGACAATTACATGGGTACGAAAATAAGAAACTAAAAAAAAATAAATAAAATAAAAAGTTGTCGGTTTGGCAAGCCATTTTTATAAAAATTATTTAGAATTGCAATAAAATACCAGCACATTTTTCATACTGCTCTTTCGTTTGCATAAAATCCAACTAATTTTGCTCATTATACATTTATTAACATTTTTTAAATGTTTAAATTCTAGATATCATAGACATTCATAGACATTATTTTGCCACAATATTTAACATATGTGGCTAAGAAATAGCTATTAACTTTTTTTTTTTTTTGGTGGGGTCAGTGAAAATTTTGCCAGGGCAAGTAAAAACCTCAACCACTTGCCCAATCGGCCCAGTAGAAAAAAATCCTTAGCGTTGAACCCTGCAATATATTTTGCGATATATTGTTTCACAAGTATTATATCAGAATAAATAATCTGAGAAACATATTCAGCCTTCATTGGATGCCTGTTAGTTACAGCTGTCAAAGAGATCTTATTAATGCTTTTGATTTGAGACTCACCCATAATCTTCATTGAATCATTTGTGGCTGTTAGACTGCAGAGCAATGTTAACACTGCTCGACAGAGGACGGATATGTGCTTCTGTACCACAGCAGCGTATACTGCAGTCAGACCGCAGTCACCAGCATCAGTGTGAAGCTCGAGGCCTCAGCTCGAGTCGTGATAGAGGAACAGGGGGTGGTGCTTTTGGTGACAGCTGGCCTCTATAAATAACCCCAGCGGGTGGAGGCGGAGAGCAGAGACCACGTGCTGGATATCCAGCGGTGTGCACCACATTGCCTCTCGGCCAATTGGATGCAACTATGAGACTGCAAGCATGAGGCTGCAATATACAGTTGAAGTCAGAATTATTAACCCTCATGTATTTTATTTTCCCCATTTCTGTTTCACAAAAAGATGACGTTTCTAAACATAATAGTTCTAATAGCTGATTTATTAAATAATATTTGACTAGATATTGTTTAAGATACTAGTATTCAGCTTAAAGTGACATTTAAAGATGTCACTAGGTTAATTAGGCAAGTTAGGGTACTTAGGCAAGACCAAGTCTGTTCTGTAGACAATCAAAATATATATATTGCTTAAGAGGGCTAATAATGTTGACCTTAAAATAGCTTTAAAAAAATGTAAAAACTGCTTTCATTCTAGCTGAAATAAAACAAATGAGACTTTCTCTAGAAGAAAATATATTATAGGAAAAACTGCCTATTTGTCAACTACCTACTAGTTTCAATGGCCTACTTTACTTGATCGTCTAGAGTAGAATGGGGAAGCAGGATAAGGTAACGGCTAGTTGGAGTGCTGTCGTGAATAGATAAATGATTAAGGCTAGTCTTTAATTGCATCTTCAGTTACCGTGACATTCAGCTTTTGTGTCCACTCATCAGTCAGACGCAGGATAGTCTGTCATGAGAGAGATAAGGTGAAGGATTGTGAGCGCACACACATAAACATCCCAACAAAAGTACCTAAGTTTAGCAAAGATGAAGCTCTATTTTAGCTCTATTACCGTCTGTGGGTCATCTGAGTCAATCGAAGTGGCCTTTGCGTGGCGCATCTTTCCCTGTGAAATCACAAAAAATATGCTTAATGATTTCTATTTTAGTTGAATGTATCATTCAGCGTAAAGAAAACGTCCAAATTGAAAAAGTTGACCTCATATAAACATGGTGGCAATGGTAATGATTATTACTGTGGCAAAATAATCATTCAAGAAATGGATTGCGCATCAATTCTGGGATTTTCTAAGTGCATCGCTATTCTTTTTTTAAACCAATTCTTAGGTTAGTTTTTAACAGTAGATGGCGCTTCAGGACAGATCTAAACAGCAAATAGCGCTCTAGGCTAGTTTTTAAAAGCAGATGGCGCTCTAGGACAGTTTTATACAGCAGGCGGTGCTCTAGGCTAGTTTTTAACAGCAGATGTTGCTCTAGCACAGTTTATAACAGCAGACGGCGCTCTAGGCTAGTTATTAACAGCAGACGGTGGTCTAGAACAGTTTTTAACAGCAGATGTTGCTCTAGCACAGTTTATAACAGCAGACGGCGCTCTAGGCTAGTTATTAACAGCAGACGGTGGTCTAGAACAGTTTTTAACAGCAGATGTTGCTCTAGCACAGTTTATAACTGCAGACGGCGCTCTAGGCTAGTTTTTAACAGCAGACGGTGGTCTAGAACAGTTTTTAACAGCAGATGTTGCTCTAGCACAGTTTATAACAGCAGATGGCGCTTTAGGCTAGTTTTTAACAGCAGATGGCGCTCTAGCACAGTTTATAACAGCAGACGGCGCTCTAGGCTAGTTATTAACAGCAGACGGTGGTCTAGAACAGTTTTTAACAGCAGATGTTGCTCTAGCACAGTTTATAACTGCAGACGGCGCTCTAGGCTAGTTTTTAACAGCAGACGGTGGTCTAGAACAGTTTTTAACAGCAGATGTTGCTCTAGCACAGTTTATAACAGCAGATGGCGCTTTAGGCTAGTTTTTAACAGCAGATGGCGCTCTAGCACAATTTATAACAGCAGACGGCGCTCTAGGCTAGTTTTTAACAGCAGATGGTGGTCTAGAACAGTTTTTAACAGCAGATGTTGCTCTAGCACAGTTTATAACTGCAGATGGCGCTCTAGGCTAGTTTTTAACAGCAGACGGTGGTCTAGAACAGTTTTTAACAGCAGATGGGGCTCTAGCACAGTTTATAACTGCAGATGGCGATCTAGGCTAGTTTTTAACAGCAGACGGTGCTCTAGAACAGTTTTTAACAGCAGATGTTGCTTTAGGTTAGTTTTTAACAACAGACAGCACTCTAGCCTAGTTTTTAACAGCAGATGGTGCTCTGGGACAGTTTTAAACAGCAGATGGTGCTCTACGCTATTTTTCAACAACATACGAGACTCTTGGTTCGTTTTAGATGTAAGAGAATGTCGCGATGCATTTTTAAAAATATCCGAATCCATTTCTCAAACTGTTTTCACCACAACTTTAAAAATCATAAAGATTTACTTTCAGGCATATAAAATCTAATTTTTTGTCAAAAGTGGGAGAAACATATTTATTTTTTTATGGGACACATCCTGGCCAGGACTTTTATTTTGCATAAAATATCTAGGTTTTGACAGTTTACACTGCACAGTCTGATTGTTGTATGACATCCATAAGAGTTTTAGAACGTTTGTTTCTTATACTCCTTATATTTTTTTAATCATTCTCGTACACTGCAAAAAATGCTTTTCTTACTTAGATTTTTGGTCTTGTTTCTAGTCCAAATATCTAAAAACTCTTAAATCAAAAATCATTTTCTGGACAAGCAAAACATATTGTCTTGTTTTAAGATATAATGAGCCAAAATGAAGTGAGTTTTCCCTTAAAACAAGCTAAATAATCTGAAAATGGGGAAAGCAAAATAATGTTAAGTCAAAAGGAAAAACAAGATTATTTTGCTTACTCCATTGGCAGATTTTTTAGCTTCTTTCAAGGAAAAACTCCCTTAATATTGGCATCTTATTTCTAAAAACAAGACAATATGTTTTGCTTGCCAAGAAAATGTTTCTTGATATAAGAATTTTTAGATATGTGGACAAGAAACAAGACAAAAAATCTAAGTAAGAAAAGCATTTTTTGCAGTCTAGCACTTTGATTTCATAAGATCGCTCTGCACATCGTTACTACACATCGCTTTGAGTGTAAAGAAATGAGTAAACCCATTGTAACTCTGAACTGTAAAGTTGACTTATTCCTTATAATTATGAATACTTCATTTACTTAATATTTTTACCGTTACAAGTTTACTCACGGGCGAGGCAGTGGTGCAGTAGGTAGTGCTGTCGCCTCACAGCAAGAAGGTCACTGGTTCGAACCTCGGCTCAGTTGGCGTTTCTGTGTGGAGTTTGCATGTTCTCCTCCGGGTGCTCCGGTTTCCCCCACAGTCCAAAGACATGTGGTTAAGGTGAACTGAGTAGACTTAATTGTCCGTAGTGTATGAGTGTGTGTGTGAATGTGTGTGTGTGTGGATGTTTCCCAGAGATGGGTTGCGGCTGGAGGGGCATCCGCTGTGTAAAAAACTTGCTGGATAAGTTGGCGGTTCATTCCGCTGTGGCGACCCCGGATTAATATAGGGACTAAGCCGACAAGAAAATTAATGAATGAAGTTTACTCACTTTTTAAGGTCAACTAATCACTTTAAAAGCACTAGGTTTACTCATTTTATAAAGTCATTTCAACGAATTGCTATACAAGCAAAGTGTTTACTACATTTTATTAATAATTTATAAATAATATGTAATCGTTTTTACTGCATAGATCCCACCATATCATGTCACAATTGTCTGAATATGTCCATATTGTTTACTGCATTTTATTGGTCAAACTACTTGTCAATTATTATCTTCAGCTGGCATAAAAAACTACAAACAAAACCAAATATAAAAATCCTGGCCAGGATAAACATGTGCAAGATTGGTAAATGTTGATATTTTTACCTAGCAGCATAATTGATGTGTATTTTAATTAAATTCCTCTTTCTTGTTTTCCACAGCCATTTGGACAGTGGTGTCGTATTCAACCAAAAGATGTCTCAAAGATGCCAGAGAGTGCGTGGAAGCTGGTCTTCTACACAATGTCCTGGTCATACAGCACTTACCTTTTATTTTTCACCAGCTATTCCTTCTTTCAAAACCCTCCATCTGTATTTTACGGTAAGCTTCATAACTGACACACCGAGCTGGATAGAACACGAATGAATTGTAATCAGTTACTGATTACAAACTACATGACAAAAGTGTAGTCAGTCAAATAGTCTATTACATTACACTTTTGTTGTAATGTAATCCGACTTCTTTGGGAATTGTAATCTGTAACTGATTATAAACTATATGACAAACTTGTAGTCAATAATATAATTTTTTAGATTACACATTGGTAATGTAACAAATGGTCATGTAATCCGACTACTTTGGGAATTGTAATCTGTTACTGATTACAAACCACTTGATTTATTTATAGTCAATAATATAATTCGTTAGATTACACATTGGTAATGTAACGTGGTGATGTAATCTGACTACTTTGGGATTACATTTAGATTACTTTTGTGCTAACCTTTATATTGAAGTAGGATAATCTTGTACTATTTTGACAGATACAAAAAATACACGCTCTTAATCAGCCACAAGCCTTAAAAACTTTGTAAAGATGGACAGTTAATACTTAATACCTACTCAGTTATTTCTCTACCATTGCCTGAATATTAAGTAATCCATAAAAAAGTAACTGTAGTCTGATTACAAGTATTTAAATAAAAAGTTTTGGTAACACTTTACAATAAGGTTCATCAGTTAATGCATTTACTAACATGAACTAATCATGAACAACACGTTTACAGCATTTATTAATCATAATTGAAAATTACCTAATGCATTATTACCATCCAAGTCCATGCTTGTTAACATTAGTTAATGCACCATGAGTTAACATGAGCTAACAATGAACAACTGTATTTTCATTAACTAACGTTAACTAACATGAACAAATATAGTAGTAGATCTATTGTTTATTGTTTGTTCATGTTAGTTAATGCATTAATTAACATTAACTAATGAACCTTATTGTAAAGTGTGACCAAAGTTTTCTCTAATTGCAAGTACTTGATCCTTAGAATCTGATAATGTAATCTTGAGGCCCATGGCCAGGTGGTGGTTTGAAAGACCCACCCCCTCACTGAGAAAGGTCCAGAATTTGTACTATACATGAGCTCATTTGTCAAATTTTGACTGCTGAGCAATCATAAATTTTGAAAATAACTAATTGAAAATTAGCTTAAACCTTCACTTTTCTTTCACTACTGACCTACTGTGTCGTTGTTAAAAAGAGAGTACTTTACTACTAACTTTTCTTGTACCTTATTCTTGAGAAAAAAAAATGGCCAATAAACAGGAGTGAAGCACGATGTACCATTCAGAAGTATAATAAAGTTAATTTTAATACTAATTATGCTATTGTTGTCATCTATGATTTTTTTAAATGTACTATTTTACACGAGAGACGACAAAAATTGTGGAGCTCTACATTATTATTTTGATGTTTTATTACTCAAATGGCCAAAGGAAAGTTGAAAGTGCTGGCCAGTTTTTTATTTGCCCTAACAAATAACAATAGACTACAGTTTTTTATGTAAAACTTGAACAGAATCCATTTTTCTGTTCTGATAAATTTGTATTTAAAAAAAAAATTAAAAAAAAGTTTTCCCAGTGATGGGTTGCAGCTGGACGGGCATCTGCTGTGTAAATCATATGCTGGATAAGTTGGTGGTTCATTCCACTGTGGCGACCCCAGATGAATAAAGGAACTAAGCCGAAATAAAAATGAATGAAAAATAATAAGTAAATAAGTATTTTTTTATATGTCTTCATTTTAAATAATTTGAAAATGTTTTTGGTACATTTAAAATTGTGGTTATGATGACCACCCGACAAGCTAATCCAGAAATTATAGTGCTTAAAATGTCACTAAAAAGCAGTATTTAAACCTCAAATGAAAACAAAATGAGGCGAATAGCTGCAAAATCACTTTCTAGGGTGTTTTCACACATGCGAATCGATTCAGTTGTTCCAAAACAGGGATTAAAATTGTTACATTGTTGCTCTTTGCTCTTGGAGGGGTTCGCTTTCACACTGCAAAGTTTCTAAACGGACCAAAACAGCTAAAACAAGTCAAGTGTGAGTTAAGTCCTCACATTTGTCCCGAGTTTCAGGGTTTATTTTGCAGAGTCCTGCTCAGCTGTCAGGGGGGTGGTGGTTTGGTGGTGTTTGACAAGGTGAGCGTGATGTGTCTGAAGAGCGAGGAGGGATATGGTAAGAAGGGTGCGCATTGTATTTGAGGACCGGGAGGGAGACGCGTGATTACCGGGAGATTATCACTCATTTGCGGGCATTGGGGAGTCTCTGTGCACTCAGTATGTCTGTTGACTTCTCTCTTCATATAGCCGTATGCCTATTATATCCATAAAACACTGTGATATAACCAGACTCGGATCGCAACGCTTTTTGACTACAATGGATCCGCTCAAGAGTTGGTTTTATATGAGCCGAGACCACCTAATTCAAGCGATCTCGGAACGATTGTTTTGACGCAAATCCAAAGGCGAATGGTGGATTCACAGATTCCAAACAAACCACGCTAACTGGGCAAACAAGACAGGTTCAGAAACAAATGTCTAGGTGTGAAAGCACCCTTAAGAAAAAAGAACCAACCCTTTCCCCAGGCTGGCTACGGGCCTGATTTATGTATTAACTAATAATAGAACCAGTGCTAAACACATGTACAGGATAATTTAACGGCCTAGTAAATAAGTGGTTTTTGGGTAAAACACAGATGAGAGTAAGATGGTTGGTGATCGCTAACTTAATCAACATATATCAGCATAAACATTAGTTATTAAGTAGGGATGGGCGATACCACAATTTTTTAATGCGATACGATACTGATACTTTTAGTTAAAATTTTTACGACACTGAAATCGATACGACTTAATATTTAAAATGTTAATGTAATTTTTCAAAATAATGCTAATAAAAAAGAGAGACAGAGCTGATTTATTATTTTATTTGTATTTATTCATTCATTCATTCATTTTCTTGTCGGCTTAGTCCCTTTATTCATCCGGGGTCGCCACAGCGGAATGAACCACCAACTTATCCAGCAAGTTTTTTACGCAGCGGATGCGCTTCCAGCCGCAACCCATCTCTGGGAAACATCTACACACACATTCACACACACACTCATACACTACGGACAATTTAGCCTACCCAATTCACCTGTACCACATGTCTTTAGACTGTGGGAGAAACCGGAGCACTCGGAGGAAACCCACGCAAAGGCAGGGAGAACATGCAAACTCCTCACAGAAATGCCAACTGAGCCGAGGTTCGAACCAGCCACCCAGCGACCTTCTTGCTGTGAGGCGACAGCACTACCTACTGCGCCACTGCCTTGCCTATTTGCATTTAATTATTATAATATTATATATTATAATACTATACTACTATTTGCTGCGTTTAAGAAGCACAACCCGATACCTCTGCCATCGTGTCATTCTGTAATGCAGAAGTGTGCGACTTGCGTGTGTTGAGTACGTAAGTTATCCAGCGAAACATGATCGCTCACATCACGTTCCGCCGCAGATTGATTGCTGTAACATCTTAAATACAAAGCGTCACTGACAATCCTGTACACAGCACTAAATCCTTAAGTTATGCAGAAATTATTAAAATATCGGTACTTAAAAAAATATATATCGATACCAAATTAAAAGCTTCGGAGTATCCATTTATCGATACTCGAGCATCGATGTGCACATTCCTATTGTTAAGACGGAATTAAAAACATTAAAGGTCACAAGTTCCTATTATCTCTTAACACTCTTTATCAGTAAACTATAATAAGAGTCATTATGTGGTCCTATTTACACCGATCAGGCCACTGATCACCATTTAACACTCCCATTGGTAGTTCTACATCATGTCACTACTCATTTGCATAAATGCTGTCACAATGCCAAAAGATTAATGTTGTTGTTGACGGAAACTGTCAACTGTCATTGAAAATAAATGGCTTTATGTCAAAACGTGAACACCAATCAAGAGAAACGAACTGCTTTAATCTGTACTATATCAGCATAAAACATCTGCTTTATGAGGCCAGTGTTCCACTTTTTCACCAGCAAGTCAAGGCCATTATTATTATCTAGTGCTCTTCTTTTATGGTTGTGGAGTTTACTTGTAGGTCAGAACTCCGTGTCATTGGTTTTGTTCTTTCTGGGTTTAGACTGGAAGAGCGGGATGTCGGTCCCCACAGATATTGCGATAGCTTACCTGATCCAAGGCAGCTTCTACGGCCACTCTATATACGCCACCGTCTACATGGACGAATGGAGGAAGGACTCGCTTGTCATGGTGGTACATCACTTCATCACTCTGGCCCTGATCACATTCTCCTATGCCTTCAGGTCAGGCCAGTTTACAGGATTTAAAAAAAAAAAAAACTACAGCCTCTCAAATGGGTTATTTGAGGCTCGAGCTTATAGTCACAACAATAAAGGAATGTTTACGCCAAGCACGATAATTATAAAGATAACAATTAAATCATTCTGATTGTAAAACAACTGCAGAGTTTAAACCACAGCTATAATGATAAAGATGTAGAGGAACGATATAGTTAAAATCACTTAGAGAATGATATTCATTTAATCATAATCCTTTGAAATATAAAGTATTAGTGCAATTGAATGCTAAAGACGACATCGTGGAGAAGCACGGATTGATGTGAAGCACTCATTAAACATTATGTAAAGATAATGATCTTGGAACCAGTGGGTTATACCTTGGGAATGAGTGATAAAATAAATGGAAGTTCTGCAAGCCATGCTAGCAAATTGAAGTATAAGAATAAAAGTACATCAGGGGATGGGTGGGTCGGTGGTGTTGTTGTTGTTGTTGTTGTTGTTGTTGTTGTTGTTGTTGTTGTCACGCGCGTACTGAAGAGCGGTGTTGTCGCTCGCGTAATGTATAGCGGCGGGGGGCTGGGGCGCGTACTCAAGAGCGGTGGTGTCGCGCGACTACTGAAGGGTGGTAGGGGGGAGGGGGGGGTGTCGCGGGGGCACTTTTTGTCATTTTGGAAGGGCACTTTCTATCCAAGACTAAAAAGGGCACGTGCACTGCACAGGTTGAGGCCTATGTGTGCACGTGACTGCTCACAGGTCATATCATACCTGCCAACATTTGGCTTTAAAATCCGGGGTGGGGAGGGGTTGTTGGTGCTCGCGAAGTGAAGGGCAGGGGGGAAGGTGCGCGTAAACTGAAGAGCAGGGTGCGGGTATGAAGATGATTGCGTTGCATGTTGGGTTCAGTGCTCATGGGGAGTGAACCACAAAGGTAGCCAGAATGTACCATTAAGGCTGATTGATACTTCTGCGTCAAACACCGGCGTATGCTACAGCGCTGACGCATAGCCCTTCACCGTGGCCATCGCCGTCACTGACGTGCACCTCTCAAAAAATGTAACCACACGTCGCAACAACGCGTAGCGTAAGCTCTGTGATTGGTCGGCTTGGTAGCGCTGACGAGTCTGGGCGGGCCCGAGAGCCGCGCGAATGGCGCGAGCGATTGTTTACAAGTGTGGAGTCCTGTGAAGGAGCTCCAGATGGAAAGTTTTGTTTTGTGTTTACCTCATAGTTAAAATTGTTGCACGTCCGCCGGTTCCTGCCTCAAAATGAGCGAGTTTGAGCCACTTGTACATCCCGGAAGTGTTCAGGAAAAGAAAAAAAGCAGAGAAGAAACTCGACACAGAGGAACATTAACACCTCACTGCCCACTAGCGTTTCGGAAGTGTTAATGCAGACCAACAGAGACAGCGCGCAGAAGTATAAATGCACAGCCACGCGCGTTGCCTGCGCCGTGAGTTACACCGGTCACTTGACGCAGAAGTATAAATCAGGCTTAAAGCTGAGAAGCAGGGGGTGGGGGAGGTGGGTGTATTGGTTGGAATTCAGGAAAGATGGGCGGGAGATGGGTCTGAAATATCGGAGACTCCCAGGTATGGGTCAGATGTGAGGACACCCACTGGTTACAAAGGGCCAATGCTGAATGAAAAGCGTAAGCTTAAAATACACGTTTTTCAGTCATCTATGTCAACACAAATGTTATAATTATAGTTATCGTGCTTGGGGTGAATGGGCTTTAAAACTCAACAGCACAAACAATCCAATTCAATGGATTTCACCTCATTTTGTAATGCGGAACTATCTGCAATTGTTTTACGACCTCCGATTCATTAGCCTATGGCTAAATGATTAGGAATATCAATTGGCAGTAAATGATTGAACTACTTGCGCTACAAACCAGTGTTTATGACAATAAATGAAAATAATATATTATGAAACTACTAGTTTGCAACATTAGACAGCATAACGAATTGTTTTGTATGAGTAAAAATCAATGGAAGTGAATGAGACTGGAAGCCCTGACCAATTTAAGTTACATGAAAATATGGTGGAAACTCACATTGTTTGCGTTTTCAAATGCCCCCAGATACCACAACATAGGCATTCTCGTCCTCTTTCTTCACGACATCAATGATGTCCAGTTGGAGTTCACCAAGATTAATGTTTACTTCAAGACCCGGGGAGGGAAGGAGTACTTCATCAATGATGTCCTATCCAACATGGGCGCCGTTAGCTTCAGCATCACATGGTGAGACTTGATCACGCACCTGAATCAAGAAAACCTTGCTTTGTTATTGATGCAAAGAATTAAAAAGCAATGTATATAAAGCTTAAAGTGACTAGTTAAAGCAAGGTAAGCACATACCTATTGTTGATCCAGAGTTTAGTTGCAACTAAGCTAGGCCTATTTAAATAGTAATTGTTCGTCATGAGATAGGGAAGGGTTTTTTCCATTTACAGGAGGGAAGATGATTTAGTGGTTTTTCCGTCTTTTGGATGAGACGTTAAATCAAGGTCCTGACTTTCTGTGGTCATTAAAGGGTCACGAAACACCAAAACACATGTTTTGAGCTGTTGACAGTCGTATATGTGTTCCACGCTGCTAAAAACACTATTAGGACACCTATATTTCACTAAAAAGTGTAAATTGGTTGTTTTTGCGTTATTTCAAGCAAATTCGTACTTCCGGTTTGAAACGAATTTTTGAAGCTGCGTCACGGTCATGACATAATAGCGTGTATTCTATTCTGGTCAACCAGCCTAGTTTTAGAGGGGTTTGGGCCACTTCCAGGCTGGTTTCTATCCATCTCTAGCCTGGTCAGGCTGGAAAATGAACTGCTAAAACCAGCTTGACAAGCCTGGTTTAAGCTGAATATAGTTGGTTTTGGTTGGTCATCTTCCAGCCTGACTGGCTAAGACTATGCTGGAAATGGTTGGAAACCAGCCTGGTAGTGGCCAAAACCCCTCTAAAACCAGCTTGGTTGATCAGCTAAAACCAGCCAACCAGCCTACACTGGTTTAAGCTGTTTTTTTTTTTTTTCAGTTGAGTTGTGTCCCAAGAATGCCTGAGATTCAGCGGCTGTTTACGTTACAACATTTCAGCCAAAAATGGGAATAAAAGTTTGTTTTGCTTCTTTGTTTACATGAAAAATGCATACATTTTGTTAGTGGATGTTCTTGAAAACCCAGCAGTTGTCATGTTTGTCTAAACACCCCAGAAAAAGAGAGTCTAATGATGCCATAAGTGTGTGTTTAGTGTAGATTAAAGGCAAGCCAAACAAACTAACTCAACAATGGTGGAATACTCAAGTGTTTGTTAGCGCTACAGTTACAATATGACCAACATTTTGGTTTGCATATGGGTGATTCTAGAGTTGTAACGAAAAATAACACAAATTATATCACGTTATGTCTAAATACGTTTTTTATGTGTATTTTGGGACATTTTGTTTTGAAAATGTTAACTTTAAGACACACACTACACCTCAACACTTCATTAGCAAAGTGTAGATTTACTTCGCATTACAACCAAATGGGGAGACGCATTTTACACACACTGCAAGTTAAACACAAACAGAGCACTGACGGCACATCGTCATTTCCCTACACGTACTGTTTACTAACAAGGCGACAGTGCCAAATACTTGCCTGGCATATGTAATAGAGTGGTATTTGGTCATTTTTGCGTATATACGTGTAAATACGGGTTCTTGTAGACTTGAAACTTTAGCAAAACACAAGGCAAAAACATGTCCATTTTTGGCTACATCCTTGCCTTGTAAACATAGCCTCAGGTGTCTTCACAAGCAAATGAGTTTGATCTGATCGTCTTGTTATTTGTGCAGGTTTTGGTTTCGTTTGTACTGGTTCCCCCTCAAAGTGTTGTGGGCCTCCTGCATCACCAGTATCCAGTCGGTTCCCAACATCCCTTTCTACTTCTTCTTCAACATGCTCCTGTTTGCCCTGCTCCTCATGAATATCTACTGGTTCCTGGTAAGATTAAGCTGCTTTTGAATATGATGGCACTGTAGAGTAGCACAGGGATTGTAACCCGAAGTGTGCTGGCTTAAGGCTTGCAATGAATCTATTATGAGGTATCATGATCATGGCACCATTGGGAAAGTCAGAGTCTGCATTTACACTGGCACTAAAATATCCACTCTATTTTTCGACAGGCTTTAACTGCAAACAGAATCATATAAACCTTAACATTTTTTAGATGAATTGTTCATTTAAAGGTCCTGTTAGGTGCATTGAAATGTGAATATTTTATGTTTGAGGCAATCTGAACTGAAACATGGAGAGGGTGGGGCATAGAGTAGATCCTCTCCTTTAAAAATGCAGTCAATAGCATTTTATATTATTACAGGTCTGCCAATGAGATTGGTTGAGCTCGAGCACATGATGGTGGCGTGGCATGTCAGACACTAGAGAGCACTTGATTGATCAGAAGATTTAATGCGACATGAAAATGACGTCAGATTGACGTTGTACCCCAACATCAGGCGGACGTCAGTGTCCACCGTCGAATAGATAGGCCAATTTCCAACGCAATCGATCAACAACAAAATATCAACCTCTGATGATGTTACAGCTTTACGTTGTGTGGGCGTTAGCAATATGACATCGATCAAATGCTGGAGTTTGGTTGTGATACATGACGATAAATTATTATTTGACGTAAATATGACGTTGGTTTAAGATGTTGGATTTTGGTCACTATCCAACACAACCTAAAATCAACAAAATGTCAGCGTCATTTCACGTCGTTATTGGACATCAAAATAACATCGTCCTTAGACACTGGTGACCTAAATCTAAGCTACGATTAATGTCTTATGATGTTGTGTGTCTACTAGGGTTGTCGTGATACTATCAATTTATGTTACGATACTATACCAGCTGAAGTATCGTGATACAAAGAAGTATTGTGATACTGTAATTCATAACTCAAATTATAAAGATAATGGTCAGAAATACTACATTTTTATGTTATAATAGGCCTACTTGAATTTAATTCATAATTCCCTTATTATCGAAAAAAATATTATTTGCACATCACTTCAGCTAAAATGTGTTTTTTTTCAGCCTGATCTCACGAGGAAACTTAAGTATTTTAAGTTTTGTCAGTTTAGTGGCTAATTCAGTTGTACAATTTTAAAAAGGAGGCGTGGCACCAAACCCCACCCCTAACTTCAACCGTCATTGGGTGATGAGCAAATCGTACTAAATTGTATGAATTAGATCGTACGAATTCATACAAATTAGCCACTTAATCAAAAAGTTACGAATTGCCGTGAGATTGCGTTGTTGTTTTTTCTAGATAATTGACCAACAAAAAAATACATTAAAATAAAGATACAAATTTGTTACAAAAACAGCATTTCTCTAATAAAATTAGGAATCCAAAGTAATAAAAATGTTACTTTGTGAGTCGTTCTTTTTAAGTGAAGTTTCATAAACTAATTTCGAGAGGAGCACGTGATATGATTGTGCACCGCTGGCCACTCATCCGTAATCAGTAATAATCCAATCAGAATGATCCTAGCTTAGTATAAATGGATCACTTTCTCCTCATTGCATCTTCATTTTGGAAGAATCCCCCCTTCCACCCCATCTCCTCCTTTTTCTCCCCTTCTAAAGGGGGAGCGATCGAGACCTACCTGACCTCGGTTCTCCTGATATGCTTCTAGACCGGGCGGGAGCCCTGGGCTCAAATATCTCCGAGCTCAGGGTTCTCTCCCGGGACAGCATGCCAAACCTGCTATAAGTGCCAAGCATATCTAAGTGGGAACTCTTGAAAAGATTGTCGCGGTTGTTGTAGCTACTAAACCATATTGACAGAAACAGAAATGAACTGATTTAGATTAGAACTCGTGTAATAGGCTACCATATAAGGCGCAAATTCTACAGGGTGGGCCATTTATATGGATACACCTTAATAAAATGGGAATGGTTGGTGATATTGACGGCCTGTTTGTGGAACGTTAGTATATGTGAGGGGGCAAACTTTTTAAGATGGGTGTTGACCATAGTGGCCATTTTGATGTCGGCTATCTTGGATCCAAGTTTTGTTGGATGTCCCCCAAGGGAAACCTTGGGGGCCATTCAACTGGCCCAAAACGACAAAATCCACTTTTCAGGAAACTGTTCATCTAGGAATGCTTAGACCAGACACCCATAATGTGGTGGTGCACCATCTTGCTGGAAAAACTCAGGGAATGTGCCAGCTTCAGTGCATAAAGAGGGAAACACATTATCCTGTAGCAATTTCAAATGTCCAGTGGCCTTGAGGTTTCCAGTGATGAAGAATGGCCCCACTATCTCTGTTGTCTGTGGTGTGAAAATACAAGATGTGCCGCACCTGAAACTACGGATACTGGAAGCCTGTGCTAGTGTTTCCCCTGCTGTGTGGCTATCAGTGTGTGAAGAGTGGGAGAAGAGGGTTGCATTGAAAATCCAACACAATAGACAGCACATTGAACGCATTTTATAAATGGTCAGAAACTTGTAAATAACTCATGAAAGAATAACGTTTCATTAAAACCAAGCACACCATAATTTTTCTTGTGAAATTCCCAATAAGTTTGATGTGTCAAATGACCCTCTTCCTATAAAAACAAAAAAAAAATTGGATCCAAGATGGCCTTAAAAATGGCCACCATGGTCACCACCCATCTTGAAAAGTTTGCCCCAAACATATACTAATGTGCCACAAACAGGACGTTAATATCACCAACCATTCCCATTTTATTAAGGTGTATCCATATAAATGGCCCACCCTGTATACAGTTTTACAACCTTAAAAGGGTCCATAGACTACAAAAAAAGGTCTATAGTTGCACGTGTGTACTTGTGAGCATTTTAGTGACTTTTCTACGTGCAACATTATCTACTATAGATAGACCGCTAATGACGATACTACCGTTTACAAACTACAGTGGCACCACTAGTATTTTGGAGCCACAGTATCATAATACTACCATAGTATCGTTAAACTGAGCAACTTTAGTGTCTACTGGGTGAAGTATGAGTTGACATCAAAAATATAGTTGATGTATTTAGATGAAGGTAACAAACTGCAAGCTTTGGACGTTTATATCTTATAAATGCTACTTTTGTCACTGTTTTGTACCATACTAGCTTATCAATACCCCTAGCATACTGATACTAGTCTATATCATGAGGGCTTTAAGATGGACCTTTAAAACAACCCTTCAACAACCCTTTACAATTTAATTATCCTGAAATCAGTGTTGTCAGATAGCATGTTAGTTAACTAAGCTAGCAGATATCTTATCCGAAGCATTTCGCAGTACAACATTAAAAGTGCACTGATAGCAGATGCCATTTTAACCTGCAAACTTTCCCCATGTTTTCCCACAGCCATTACCATGTTTCATCATGTTTGAACTGCATTTCTTATGAGTTATTAGCACGTGAAGTCATGACATTTTTGTTCCTTTTCGCAGTTTATCGTGCTGTTCGTGGCGAAGGTCCTGACAGGCCAGATGAAGGAGGTAAATGACGTTCGGGAGTACGATGAAGACGACCTGAAGGAGAGAAAAGACAGCAGTGACGAGGCGTCTACTGAAGGGTATGTAAAGAGAGATGCAGCAGTTTGTGGTTTGCTCAGGTGTACTGTGTGTGCGCAAGTCATTAAGAGGAAGTTGTGAGGCTTTACTAGATGTCAAGGCGGAACTGAAACTTCTGAGAGACTAAAAGCCATCGAGGCCTCTAGAGAAATTTAAATGTGTAAGTGTGGAGGGGGCAATGACAATAATAGCAGTGTTTTTGTTTCCATATATGACAGTCCTAGTGTTGTGGAAACGTTTAATGAAACTAATACTAATCATATCAGGTCATGTCTAAAGATAATGTTATTTAATGTGTATTTAGGGACATTTTGGGTGAAAAATATTTAGTTAAAGACTCCCACTATACCAATTTTTGACTCTCTCCATCTCCTACATCCTGCTATAATTATCATGAAACAATATTTTTTGAGTGTTTATTTTATTATTTAAATATACATTTGCATAAAATATACATTTTCTGTATTGTCATTTCATTGCTAAAATATATATATATTTTTTGTCTGGCACGATAACATGCAAAGCATTAGTAGATAAAGCATGTGATTTCCTCCCAGTGATGTCACTTCCTGTTGTGGGAAACTCTAGAAATCATTGAGGCGTGTCATTACTCTTCTCTCTTTTATTTGTACAAAATGTTTAAGATACACCAACTAGGGCAGCAACTAACGATTATTTTAATAATCAATTAATCTGTTGGTCATTTTTTTTCTTTCGATTAATCGATAAATCGGATAAAAAAAAAAACTTTCATTTCCAACCCTTTATTCAAAAACGGAACGAAAATATTTAAAAGTGAACTTAAATGTTGTAATAATAATAATAATAATAATAAAATAAAAAAACTAACTAAGTAATTTGTCCTGTTTTCAATCCAAATATCTAAAATAAATCTTAAATCAAGATACACACTAGACACATGAAGTGGCATAAGCAATTATGTCTTGTTTTCTGAAAAATAAAACATCTCAAAATCAAGCGATTGTGTGCTTAAAACAAGCTTAATTGTTTGCCAATGGGGTAAGAAAAAATAATCTTAATGAGATATAATCTCACAAAAGTTTGAAGCATCACTTAATTTTCTAATGCCATTTTTCTTCTCTGGTCTTGATTTAAAGATTTTTCAGACGTTTTGACTGTAAACGAGATGAAATTGCTAAGAAAAGCTTTTTCGCAGTGTAGCTATACATGACTACAGATGGAAAAATGAATGACACAAAAAGGCGAGTGAATAAAAACGTGTCTGCACTGCATCGCAAGACTAAAGTAACAATACCACTGCTGCTTTACTTCTGTTATTGACCCTTTCACTAGTGAGTTTTAAAGATTTTATCTGGGAACCAGGAGTGAGTTTTGTTAGGCGATCATTTTTTTAGAATGTTCACCCTTAATGTTTCTGTGGCGACGCATCATGTGTCACGTGACACACCGCAGCCACAATAGCGCTGTATGACAGATGTATCCCTTTTAGTATGCTTTTCCATTTTAATACAAAATATTCACAAGCTTGCTCATCATGCCATCAACTAACTGATATTCCAATTCACAAAAACGTGCAAGTGAGTGTTTTTTGTTGTTTAAAAGATATATAAATGATCTTCATCATTTATATATGGCATCGCCATGTTTACTTGCGGCCGGTCATTTGCCTCATTCATAAAAGTAGGATTCGGCAAGTAAACTCATCAGTTACTCCCAAAATGCATGCAATCAAGTGGCTGGCATAGATTGAACTTTATTGCTACTCTCACTACGTGCATCTGGTATGAATATTCCACATCGGCAAATTATATTTGAATGGATTGTTAGACTTCCATAGACTTTCTTGTGTGTTTTACAAACTCTAAATGTATTGTTTTACTAGTACTTGTGTGTATTTGCATGTCTAAAACATAAAATAAGCATTGGGTGGTTAAAAACACAGCATAATGGTAATAATATGACACATCTTTCTCTGGCTCAGCGCCAGCCAAAGCGACAAACCTCAGTTTGATTTTTTCATGTCACGACATGAGGAATCGATTATGAAATTCGTTGCCAACGCTTTCAGTAATCGATTCCTCGTTGCAGCCTTAACATCAATAGTAGATGGTTTGTCAGCTCTGATACTGTTATATTTCAGTAAATCTCTCAGTCACATTTAAAAAAACAATAATATGATGAAAATGCAAACAATTTGATTTTAAACATGCCATGTGGTTGTTCGGTTTGAGGTTAGCATCTCAAGCCAAAGCACAAAATTGTGGAAAATGCCAACTCTGTTATCATACACACTCATTTACACATGCGCACACACATACACGCATAAACCCACACCAAAAGGGAGAGAATATGCAAACTCCACACAGAAACACTCAAATTAGCGACCTTCTTGCTGTTAGGAGACAGTGCTAACCACTGAGCCACCGTGCCACCCCATAACAGATTTATTTTGCTGTAAATTACATTGTAAATTACACATTATACTGTCAGTCCAGTTTAAGGAAAATCCGCAATTCTAGATTAAGTCATGTACCAAAAAGTTTAATTAACTGTAGTGGTGTACATGTGCACTTAAGCCATAAATCTGCCCATTCTCATGAAGTAGAATGTCCATTTTAGGTTACAATGCTTTACCAAAACATTTACTGCAAAGCACTGACAGACCGAGTGGCTGTTGGATACCTAAAAGCACCCTTGCTTTATTTGTGCTTAGTCAAGATCAGCAGTATTAGCTTTAGCCTTATATGCTAGTTACATGTTACGTCAGCTTTTGTGCCACACACACCTGATGACAACAGTAGCTGCAGGTTTAGGGTAATGCAACCTGAGATCACGGTCTGCTTCAACCTGATCTGTGAAACGTGGAGATTGGATAAACCCACAGGCTTGTGTGGATGTGACTAGCATCGTAGCATTAGCGCTATCCTTATCTTTCTGACCTTGAAGCGATATAATCGCACCATGCCACATGCGCCCACTGATTACCTCATTCTGGCCTGACATTTTTTTTTTTTGGTCGCAAATAAATTTAGAGAAGATGGTTCATTGTATTTTATAGAACAATTCTGATTTGAAGTGTGCTTTTTTGTAATAAGGATGATAAAATATCCTACATTTGTTTTATGATTGTGTTTATGCAAAATTTTTCTGGTGCAATTTGACTTTTCAAGTGAAACAACGTACTGAGACTGAACTGCAGCTCAAATATAAGGGTATTTCTTTTTTTTAAAAAAACATTTCAAACTTTGATGTATTGTGAATTTACTCATGATTTATCAAAAAATCTTTAAATCGCAAGTGTAACTGGCCAGTATAAAATGAGTTTTACTAATTTTTAAGATGTAAATGTTCCACTGTCATTCATTAAAAGAGACAAAATATAATAAAGTGGGAAATACAACATTAATTGAAAGCCTTAAACTTCTGACATTTGAAAATTAATTTGCCTTGTCTTATTATTTTTTCCTTTTATATTATTATTGTACTTCTTGTTTCTTTATACTCCTCATTGTTATAGAAATTGCAACAAAAAAAGTTAACGATAATTATTTATAATATTACAACAATACAATTACCGTACAACAAATAATGTTTTTACATTACTGTGAGTGTACTGTGAGGGGTAATTGCAATAATAATAATTTTAAATAACAATAATTTTATGGTTAATAAAATAAACATTATGAATAATTACTGTTTTTACATTACTGTGAGGGTTGGGGTAGGGTAGACGCTAATAAAATACATTTAATGGGTAATTTAATAAATAATATGCATAAAACTCTGCATAATTACTGTTTTTACATTACTGTGAGGGTTGTGGTCGGGGTAGAGGCTGATAAAATACAATTTTATGGGCAATTTAATAAAAAACAAGAATAATACTCAGCATAATTACTGTTTTTACATTACTGTGAGGGCTGTGGTCAGGGTAGATGGTAATAAACTACAATTTTTTGATTTATATAATAAATAACATGAATAATACTCTGCATAATTACCAATATTACATTGCTATGAGGGTTGTGGTAGGGGTAGATGTCAATAAAATACAGTTTTATAGGTAATTTAATAAATAATATGAATAATACTCGGGATAATCACTGTTTTTACATTTCTGTGAGGTTTGTGGTCGGGGTAGAGGCTGATAAAATACAATTTTATGGGCAATTTAATAAAAAACAAGAATAATACTCTGCATAATTACCATTATTACATTACTTTGAGGGTTGTGGTCGGGGTAGAGGCTAATAAAATAAATTTAATGGGTAATTTAATAAATAACCTGAATAATACTCTGCATAATTACTGTTTTTACATTACTGTGAGGGCTGTGGTCAGGGTAGACGGTAATAAAATACAATTTTTTGATTAATATAATAAATAACATGAATAATACTCTGCATAATTACCAATATTACATTGCAATGAGGGTTGTGGTCAGGGTAGATGCCAATAAAATACAGTTGTTTAGGTAAGTTAATAAATAATATAAATAATACTCGGCATAATCACTGGTTTTACATTACTGTGAGGTTTGTTGTAGCGGTAGACGCTAATAAAATACAATTTTATGGGTAATTTAATAAATAACAGGGAATATGCCAAAAAAATACACATTTAAAGGTCATTTAATAAATAATATGAATAATAATCTGTATAATTACTGTTTTTACATTACTGTGAGGGTTGTGGTTGGGGTAGAGGCTAATAAAATACAATTTATATGGGTAATTTAATAAATAAAATGAATAATACTCAGCATAATTACGATTATTACATTACTGTGAGGGTTGGGGTAGGGTAGACGCTAATAAAATACATTAAATGGGTAATTTAATAAATAATATATCATTTTTACACTATTGTGAGGGTTGTGGTTGCGGTAGACGCTAATAAAATACAATGTTATGGGTAGTTTAATAAATAATATGAATAAAACTATGTGTAATTACTGTTTTTACATTACTGTAAGGGTTGTGGTCGGGGTAGAGGCTAATAAAATAAAATTTTATGGGTA